TTGCTAATACTATTGTTAAATAACATTAAGGTGCTGGGAAGAGGGTAAGAAATGCAAAAGCCAATGAGAGCTTGAAATTTTTTTTTTTAAATATACAAAAACCACTCAAAATGTATCACCAAGTGTCCCTCTGCACACTCCAGGAACACACTACAGTGTGCAGGATGCAATCTCCTCTGAGTTGTTTTCCTTCTGCAGGATAACTGGATTTACATGAACCAGCTAGAGTTAACATTTTAGGTTTAGTTGCTCTTTCTGCCACTGCATTGACTGCTTGGGAATTATATTTTATTCATGATGCCTTGAGAAGGGAGATTAATTTGGGGGTATATGCAAAGCTATTCATCCTATCAGGTTGTATCATCAGTTTGATTCTTGCAGGAAATTGGGGATCAGAAGGAGGACAGGCAGAGTAGTAAGTGTTTGGTTTCAGTGGTGGCTGGTGGGTGGTGTCCATGTCTTTCAAGGCCATGCTGATGAAAACTTTTCTGCATGGACAGAGAAAGGATTCTGAATTCCTCTGCTCCTCTGGAATCCTGCTGGATCAAGGCCAAGGGCAGAAGTGCTGTCTTGTGCTCTGGTTTTTAAAGGAGATGCAGAGAACTCTCCTTTCTCAGAATCCTCAATTCTTTGCCAAATTCTTCCTCTCACTCCTCTACAGTTCTTCATTTCTTTGTAGATTCTTTCCCTGCTAGGCAGGAGTAGGAGTGACTTTGAACGAGTTCCCATTGGAAAATGGAAAATGAACATGACAGTTCATAGCCAAGCAGTGCCTCTGCCTTGTCCCTTCAGGAACTGGGCACCAGGGATGTTCCTAACTTACCAAATTGTTTAAACTGAAATGCTGAAGAAATATTTACATTTTTCCAAAGTATTTACCATCGTAGCTTTTTTCCAGATATCAAATAATATTGAACTCTGAGATGAACACTTTTGATGACCAGTGCTTTGGCCAGAAGTGCCCAATTTGTTATTAAAAATTAAAAGCTGCACATTTTCACAGAAACAAATGATTGCTAAACCCCAGCATCTAGAGAGTCATACATAGCATATTTGAGATCAGGAGCTGTGATATACCATATGCTTGAGGCTTAACTTGTAATAAGTATTTCCTTTGGGTTTGAGACTCGATAATACTTTTTTCAGTAGATTCCTAAAGCTATTATTTTGTCATAATTGCATAATAGGACCTTATTTTAAAGTAATATTAAATAAGTTACTACATTAATAAAAATTACTTCAAAATAAATACAACTACCAAAAAAACTATGCCAGGAGTATATTTTAATATAAGGCCTCACATATTAGCTGGTAGGAAATGATAACATTCTTCTTTGGAAAACTCATGTGCTGTAGCACATGATGCTAACTAGCACATGTAGATGATGACTCCTCACAGGTTGTCTCCAAAGTGCATGTGGAGAGAGAATTACTGTGCAGGCATCAGCAACTCCTCCAATCAACATCTTCATGGCACCAGAAAAATTTTGTTGTTTCTGCTACTTTTAACTAAAAAATGAACTGTGTCTAGGCATTAATACCTGTTCAATCTACATTTAAAAAAACTTCAGTAGTTTCTACATTTTTTTAGCTTGTTTCTGTATTTGTCAAGCCGTGGTCAGTGTCCATGTTTATTCTGTAGCTGTAACTGCTGGTTTCATTGCTACTGAGTCATGAAAGAAATGGTGCTGCCTGCCAGAACTGTTACTTTTCCTGATTAACTTTTTTCTTGTAACTTTTGAGATTATTTTTTAAAATGGCTTTTTACTTCATAAAATGCTTTTTTGCCTTTGTCCTACTCCTTCCTTGAATATCTTTGTAATTTCAGAATAAAAGGACTAGTAGGGTGCTGTTTGCCCTCCCTTTCTGACAGCATTCCTCTATTTCCACTGTTGGTTGGAGATCACAGTAATCCAACACTGTGGAAAACCCTTTTCCCTGGAGGGACATCTGTCTCTTTGATGGACTCCACAGGCACTTTTTTGGCAGCTCTGGAGATGCCACTGGGAGATCTGGCACACTTCTGTTTAGATGAAAGTAAGAAAATCCCTTGTGAGTGATGTACAGAGTAAGATACTGGTTATTGCACGGAATTGTTTTGGACCTGCTCACTTCTAACAGTAAATATTAGCATGTAGAGGAGGGATTTTTTCCTTTTTTCCTATTTATGAATCTGAAAGTAAAAAGGTCTGCAAAAACCAAATCAGTAAAGGCAGAAAAGGGGAAAAAAATCATTAATGAAAATTCAACTCCTACCCATCTAGTAAAATAGCAGTTTTGTGAATTGAGTGGCCTCTGGTGAGCAGGACTTGTACAGTGGCAGTTTTGGGAATTGCTGTTGCCTCTCTATTCAGTGTTCCATTGTTTGATCATCTCCACATTCTCGTTGGCTTTACTACTTTTTAGTTCAGCAGACAAGTGGGGTCTTACTTGGTTCCAGGAGGAGGGATGTGTTTTGATATTAGTGAAATGTTCTTGTGTGTCCTGAGGGTACACACTGATAATCTCACCTTCATCTCCCAAGAATGTTCTCATCACAGCTGCCTGTGCTGTGGTCTGGACATTGGTTATTCAGTGTTGGAAGTGCTGGAAAGAAGAGTTGTTTCTCATTGCTGTCCCAAGAAAGCCTGTGGCTTTCACACCAGAATTGGCACAGGCTGCTCTTGTCACTGGTAGGTGAGTGAGCTGAGCAGATTGTGACAGCAGCACAGCAAGGGACAAGGGAGGACATTGGTGAGAGCAGGACAATGGTACCAGTGGCTGTAAGAAGTGGCACCATGAAGAAAAAACCCACCATGAGGGGAGATGTTGGCATCTGGCATCTGTTCTGCTGCCACTCACCCAGGAAAGTGTGTGTGCCCTTACAGCAGCCTGGCACAACGTGTCATCTCCTGAAGCCAGGGAGCTGAATCCTGTCCCAGCCTGGGTTATAGAGCACCCCAAGGTGTCATAACCTGTTAGCTTCTATGTAGTCAGCCAGAAGTCCTGCATAGAAAAATTCATCTCCCAGAAAAAAGATATAAAATCTTCTTAACTTAAATACTTCATTCAGAATTCTCTGCATGTAAAACCTATACCTATAAAACTATATTTTGGGACTGAGCTATTGGTTGGCTAAATGCAAAATAGACTTAAAAAAAAATAAAATTAACAAACCAGAACCTTTGAATAGTACAACTAGTACTGTAAGAGTCCCTTTAGTTTTTTTTCCTTCTAGCATTATTCTCTACAGTACTTCTTCACCTCCAGTTAAGTATTTTGTTTTTCCATGAAACTTGAGTGCTTTTCTTCTGTGGTATGTTGTTAAACAGTTTTAATACACAAGTCTGAGGAATTCTGTTCAATTGTCCACTGTCTTTATTGCTCACAGGAGTGAGACCTTGAACTCACATAAGTCATTTTACTGTGGAAGATCACTACACTTCTGTGAGGCCAACATTTCGCTTACCTCTGCCCACCTTGAAAGGAAAACATCAAAACCCATTCTTTATCTGAAGAGTTTCTATGCCCAGACTTTACAGATGCTGTTTTATCCTTACCAGATGTTACATCTCTATGTCGCTGTTTCTGATATAGCAGAGTTTGGGGTTTTTTTGTTTGCTTTTTTGATGCCTTCTTTATGTGTGATTGTTCTGAGTTGAAAAATGCAGAGAATCAAGGAGTAACACTTATGGCTTTGAAATACTTGCTTGCCACCCCCACCCATTGCCTTCCATCCAACTACAGCCAAAGACAAATTCTCTCTGAGAAGAGTTTTTTTTAGTACTTCAGGTGCCTCAAATAAGCCCAGTGCTGTACTTGTCAGGCTTATTCATTTTTAGCCATTTTATTGGATACAATATATATATATTGATTTTTTTTTAAATTGCAATTTTGAATCTTTTCAGTATCTTTGAGAAGAAATTACTTGGAGCACTTGACATTTTAATGCAGTTTGTCTTTTCAAATAGATTTGGCTTCTAATGCATGTGACAACGGGACTTTGCTCTTCAGTTAGAGCATACATTTCAGAGTAGTTGTTACCTAAAATATTATCATAAGGCATAAGAAAACACACGATTTAAGTTGCCTTTCATGAACATAATTAAGAATTAATAAGCCTGTACCAGTGGCTAGTCCTCAGAATTTCCACTGTTTTGCCTTTTGTGACCCGTGTTATTAAAAGTCCATTATTTTTACAGACTTTATTAAATTGGATCTTATTAAAGCATTCTATATTTGCATTTGGTCTTTCATAATTCATTATTATTATGACATTTACTTTTTACCATCAGATCTGAAAACATATCATAAGCTACCCTTTTCTCTTGAAAGAAATGCTAATTTCAAACAGTCCTTTAATGGAAGAGAAAAGCTTTATCAGTTTTTTCATTTATTCAAGATCGTGTTAAGAATACTAATGTTAGACTTCTGTATGCTAATATCTAAGAGCTTTTTTTGGTCAAAAGCTTAGAATTATTGTTTTTTAAACCACACTGCTAAGTATGTCACTGGCAGGGCACTAGTACAAAAGAAAATACAATTCTGAAGTACCATGTTTTAAATCTGTGGCTGATAAAACCAATTTCTTGATCTTTCATTATTAAATTATGCTTTCGTATGAAATTTACTATTTTTGCACTTCACCATGTTTATTAGATTGTTGTTCTACTTAGTTTTTCTTTAGAAGTTTTAAACAATTGATTCAGCATGATTATTTTGGGGGGTAGTTTTGAATTATAGTCTTCACATAGTGTAACAAGAAATGGAATTGTCCATGAAATAAATCACTGTCTCAAGCAGTTGTTAATTGTGGTAATTTAGACAACCTGGACCTTATCATGTTTGTAAATACTATAATAATTTAGTCATAAAAAGAGATAAAGAGCTCTGGAACTGAATGCAGAACATGTTAACGTGCAGATAACATGCAGTTAAACTGCTGAATTTAGCAGAATTACTTTTTAAACTTAACTTCCTAAAGTCCTCTACAATGTTAACTATTTTTCTTCCCCCCCAAGGTTTCTGACGATGTGCACTAGACATTTTGGGAGTGTTGTAGCCCAAACAATTCGAACTCAGAAGACAGACCAGTTTCCACTTTTCCTTATTATTATGGGAAAACGATCATCTAATGAAGTGTTGAATGTAATACAAGGTACAGTTCTTTATTTTGCAAGTATTCCTTATGTGAGTATTGAAACTGTTACAAGAGGTCTTTGCTAACTGTTTCTCTTTTAAGATAGCCAGTATATTAATTTATTACACAAAGCACACTTTAAGTTGCCAGGGTATAATTATCTACTACTCATAAATGTATTAATTAGCATGGTGTTAGAGACTGGAGTTGCCATGACACTAGTAGAATTGTAGTTTACGGGATTTTTTTTGTTTTGGGTTGTTTTTTCCAGTGGAAGCTTAAATTCCTAAATAAGGAGATACACTTAGTTTTCCAAATTTGTATCCAGATACGTTCCTGATTTCCAAAATACCTTGGCAGCACTTTTTGCATAATGTTGGAATGCAGCTGGTTCAATGTGTGTAATTCCTTGTTAATACCTGGACTCCTGTTGCTAATATTTGGACATGAGTTGCTTTTTCAGACCTGCCTGCAGCATTGAGACCCCCACACCAGATCAGGATTTAAGTTCCTAGTATAATCTCACATAAATGAAGCTTTCTGGCTTACATGAGCAATTCTTTCTGGTGTAACCATTCCTGTGATTTCACTGACAGCAAGATGACTGAGATGTGGAGTGTTGCCCTCTGACTGCTGTTCTCAGTAACTCTTCAAATTAGAGCACATCAAAGAATGGCTGCGTCTCATTTCTTCTTCTTTCTCCACAAGTTTGCCTTCATGACACTATGTCCTCATTTTTTTATTGCTTATATCTAGCAATCTTTATTGTAATCTTGTTTTCCTGAGGAAATCCAGCCTCAGGAAATGCTGCCTTTTGCAGACAAGCATTAGTGTTTCTTTCTGCATCTGAGATTAATAATTTTCTTGAGGAATCTGCAGTGTTCCTTCCTATGGACAAAAGTGGTTAATTTTTGCACAGATTTTGTCTCCTCGGTGCAAGGTACAGCACAACACTAATTCATGGTATGAATGCCTGTAACTTGTAAAACCTATTTCATAGGTTTCATAGGTTATTTCATGGAAATAGTCTTATAAATAGCTTTGTTTTCTGACTCTGCAATACAGTTCAGAACCTTTGCCATCCCACGGAAGTCAGTGGTGCTGCTTCAAGTACTTAACTGCTTTAGCAACAATTCAAAGTCATAATACAATGCTGTTTTGTATTTTAAAATAATCCAGATTATTTAATTGCGTGCATTAAGTTAATGATTTGTCAGGTTTTTTACAATCTTTTGCACTAAACTAAAACGATCACCTATTGTAGCCTTACTTAAACTTATCCTTTAACAAGACTCACACAATCTCTGCTTGCTATTTTCCCAGGAATGGAAATACTGCTATCTTTTAACAATACTGCCTCAATGAATGGTGGGCTCTGAAGTCCAGCATGTTGTAGCATGTGGGATAACATTTTCTGCTAAGGTAGCAAATGTTAGAAATGGGAACAATGAGGGCCTTTCAGGGCTGGGCAAGAAGGCATGTTGACAGAAGAGATACAACTATATAGAAACCTAAGACCCCAGTGGCGTTTATTGAAATGCAGGCTGTCTAAGTTTGCTTTTGATTTTTATTTCTTTTTCCTGGGGTTGGAAACTATGGGGACAGTCTTGTTTTCTTTAGTGGTACTTGTTCTGCTGAGGTCCAACAGCTGTTTAGGCTGGCACATGTTAAGACTTCTTAGTTATTGACCATTTCTCATGGTTTAAGACTTTTAACTACTACGAGTGGCTTTAATGAGTAGTCTAGTCCTCAGTTGAGAAAGAAGAAAACAAAACATACATCTTAGTAGGAAATTAATCTTTCAGTCTTTATGAAGACTGGAGGCATGCTGGAAGGAAAACATGGGGAGGTATCTGTTTTCCTATTATGTGTTCTATTTCATGATACACATATAGATGACATAATTTTCCACTTCATTAGCTTTGCAAGTTTTTTGAGAGATAAATAGACTGAAGAAAATATGGTATTTGAAATTTTATTACTATTTATACCCAAATAAAATGTGCATACACATCTGTTCAATTTGGGTTTTTCCATTGTTTTGAACCAATCCACATGGATGCTGCTGTCAATATCCTACCTTTTGTTGCCTGACTAAGCAGTTGCTTTGGTCTCCGTGGGAATTCTAAAACTGTAAAATCAGTTTCACATAAGGAAATCCCAGATCTACTGCTTTCCTTTAACATCACTGACTAAAAGACAATATAGAGTTAATTTATGCAAGCATAAAAGCAATTGTTCAGATTTGCACCACCTGAAATTTTAACCTGTGATTCAACCTTTGTAAAAATAATTTTGAGTTTTCAGTAAAAGGTGAACTGAGAGCATTCTACTGAGATATTGGCATTTTCTACTCTTGTCTTCTTTCTTTNAGTCTGGCTATTTCTTATGGATTAATTCCAAAATGACTTCTTTTTTGTTTAATAACTTAAATGAAATGAAGTTCAGCTATCTTCCTTTGTTGCTAGGTAACACAACAGTGGATGAGCTAATGATGAGGCTGATGGCTGCAATGGAGATCTTCAGTGCCCAGCAGCAGGAAGACATAAAGGATGAGGTGAGCACTGAAAGTTGCTGCAGATGCCTCCTGGCTTCCACTAATGACTGGGGATGTAAATTAACCACATGTTCCTTTAGCCAGTGGAGTTGGGTATGATGTGTTTTAGTGTCTCTTCCATTGTCAGAAATTAAAAAGACAAAGTCTCCTTTGTGTATTTGGGTCTCTCAGAACAACTCCTCCTTTTTGGTCTTGTTATTTTCAGTTTCTTTCCTTTTTCTGAGCATTAGTCACTAGTGACTGTTTACATTATAGTGATATTATAGAGCTTAATATGCTCATACAAGGAAAATGAACCAATTTTTTGCCACTGACCAGCTCTAAGTCATATGTAGAAAACAAAAATAGATTAATATATCTTAAATGTTTTTTGAAAAGGAGGCTGAAAACAACTTTAAGCAGTACACCAGTACTGAACCACCATTCAGAATGATGCAGAATGCATAAATGATCACAAGACTTCTCAAAACCAGTGTTTCAATTACACAGAAGACACAGTGAGTTACACAGCTGAAAGATCTTTATCTGTTACTCTATAAATTGAGAGTGACATTTTGAAGTAATGAAGTACTTAGGAATTTATAATAATAGGTGTGTTGCCATTCAAAATTATTCTTATCCTGTTATATAGACATTGATTGACAATAATTCACTAAACACATTCTTCACATTTAAATCTTATATCTCATTAGTACAAGATTTACTGACTATAATATGAAGGTACATTATCTGCACAATATCTGTCATTCATTTTTTCTGCTTTATTTATGCTACCTGTAATTCATTGGTAAAGAAATTGGCTTTAATTTTGTTAATACTGAACACAAATTGAAATATGAGGATTACAACAAAAATCCAAGGCACAATATAACTGAATTTTTTATTGCACTTTAACAGGAGCGTTTTGAGTATGGGAGTTTTTTTTAATGCTTTAGTAAGAAGGTGAAATTTACATCACAGATGAGATCCAAGAGAGGTTCAGAATTACAAACTAAAAGCTGATAAAAAGGAAGGGAAACAAAAGCATTTAAAGTCAGAGAGGTAAGAGCAAACAAGGGATAGGAGAAGAAACTGGAAGTGATAGGATTGGAACAGAGTGAGGAGCAGGACACCAGACCAGACACAGAACCAGGAACTGGCTCCTGTCCTGAGCTGCTCTTTGGCCAAGAGCAGTGACAGTGACAGCCCAGTCCCCACATGGGGACATTGTCATCCCCTGACTCCTTTCCCCAAATGGTCTGCCTGTCTAGGGAGAATGGAAAATCGATTTTTGTACCTTTCTCCAGAATCTACCTTTGTCCAAGTCTTCTGTAGTCTTTTGTTTTTCTGTCACTGAAAGCACTGGTGACATTTCTTCCCCAGCAGGAGCTTTTTCTAACACACTTTGACATTCAGAAAACTGATGGAAAAATTCATAAACTTTGGGGGCAGCTTTCTGGACTCTATGGGTTCTATACACAAATAGGATATTTACTTACACCTTGACTTCACTCATTACAAGCACACTGAAAAGGTGATCTCAGACACTTTTGCCTTTGAAGCCGGAAGTTTTCATAACAAAAAATTACCTTGCTTTATGAAATCACTATTCCAGAGAGGGAGTATTTGACAAGCAGTCTGTACTCAATAGAGTGCTTCAGCCTGAAAACAAAATATTACCTTTTTGTGGTTAGCTACATAACATGTAGCTTTTTTGTAAGCCTTGTACTTGACAACTTCAAGTGTTCAAACATCAACACCTTTTCTTTTTTAAGATCTTACTGCAGTTGGTGCAATTTTCCCCAAATATTACAATAGCAAACAGGATACAGAGTCCGGTTTCTGTTACTGTTTTCTTAATAGCAACAATAAGTCATCGTAAAACCACAAGAAGATAAGCAGAAAATTCTTTTGTGCTTTAAAAAGAGAAGTCATCAGTGTAGCCTTGCTGTAACTAGAACTGGAAACATTTGTAAATGACAGCATGAATTCAGTAGTGAGTGGGTTTATGCAGCTGAAATTCTCATGTACATGAAAGCTTCCAGCACAGCCATTGCACAATCCTGTCAGGCACAGCATGTTTTGCAGTGCCCTCTCATGGTTATTTGGGTACAGGAGGACTGGTACCACTCCAGCTGCTGCTCCAGGTGTTCAGCTGATGTTGGCTGTAGCTACAGCTCCCTGTTACTGAACAGGAGTGTAGGTGGGATGCTCAGAACAGCATTACCAAGTTTAATGAGCCACCTAAATAAGCCACCTCATTAGCTGGTGGTAATAATAGTGTTTAGCTAAGTCGTGTGCTTTTGTATCCGTGTTTTGGTAAAATTTACAAGTTTAGCCTCATAACATTTTAATGGGGCAAATCTCTTGCATATTTTTTAAGTGTCAAGTGTTAAAATATCATCACTTAAGTAGCAGTTGGATCTAATTTTTAGATTTGTATATGGTACTTCATTAAGCTTTTTCTTACATAATCTCCAAAGAAATACCTTAAAAACATTGGGATGCACATGTGTACTCATAGTAACCCAACATGCCTGTCCTGATATGTAACTTCTGCACCTGTTTTCACTTCCAAGTTTTCTTAAAAGAAGATCAACCTGCTGTCCCATTCTTTACCCTGCCTCTCCAGGGTTCTGGGTCAATCATGAGCTGTTGCTGTGTTGGCCAGATGACATTTTGGAAACCTCCTGCCTCTTTTGGACCATGTTGTTGATATGCCATTGTATATATATTGTACATGGTCTAGGTGTCCTGCTGCCCGTTTTTTTAAATTTGCTCCTGAAATTGCTGGAAGAACACACCACAAATAACAAAATTGGATTAGCAGCACACTGATGTGCTCACATTAGAAGTGGCCAGTGGGTAATTCAGTTGAGGATTCAGTGACCATCAGTAGTGAAACCACTTGGCCAGGATACAGTCCCACCTTTCCCAGTGCAGTCAGGTCTGGGGACTGAAGTCCAACCTCACGCTGTGTATGCAGAGTTATTCTGCAGCTGCACTAACTATTTCATGCATCTGATGGATGTATTTTCTTTTTCTAACCATGTTTGCTCCCCTGGTCACCACCACAGGAGTTGACACCTCAGCTACTGCTCAGGTGGAGCTGGAGGGTTTTGCAGAGAGGGAATAAATATCATTAAGAAGTTTCTCCTGTAAGCAAGAGAGGGTATTTCAGAGCAGGGATAACCAGCCTCTGTCACTGTTAGTCAAGGTGTGCACTGAGATTTTTTGGGTGCTGATTTTGAAAAGAGTGTGTAGTATCAGTTCCTCTTGAGTATCAGTTCCTCTTAAGTGTCAATGCCTGGTCCTGGGCTTAGGAAAACAAATAATAATTGTAAAATATTCTACACCCTGGAATGTCCATTTTTAAACACCCTGTGAGCTTGCTTGCTTTAGTTGAGTAGTTAAATAATCATCTCAGTGTGGCGTGATGGGCCTGAATAGATCCGAGTTAGTTCCTTTGTGAGATTAATGTGAAGAGATCTGTGATTAAATCCTGGCATTACAGCACAGCACACCTGTTCTGGGCCCATCCTCAACATTTTTTCTTCATTGCCTGAGGAGGAGGCTTCTCAAAGGATTACAGTAACACTTTTTGACAAGCTTATACAGGGCGGAGTTTCCATGTAATGACAGGGCTCATTTGATGATGCCTCAGTAATGCATTTTTTATTTTTGCTGTCAACATTTATTACTGTAGAAGCACTGACTGTTACACAGCTGGTCCAACTTGTCCACATTTAAGTAACAGTAGGTCTCTGGTCGTGTTTATTTTTGTCCTTATGCAACACTGGCACTCCTGCTCTTGGATTAGACTTCAAGGTGGAATTGTAATACCCACAGTTGTTTCAGAGACCTTCTTATTTTTACAAATACCAATTAAAACCTTTAATTCACTTTAAACTATGTCTGCCAGCACACTGGTCTGTAGTGTAAAAGAGAGACACTTAAAAAACTGCTGTAAACAGACTCTGACTGAAGATAAGCTGTAGAAAACTGTAGGCCTGCAGAGTCACCATCTTTCCTCTCTGTTCTTGGGTGACATCTCTTTCTAAATACTTCTAGAGCTTGAGGAAAACAGAAGTCCTTCCTCACCAATATCTGGATGGGGATTTCAAAAACACATGAAGGAAAACCAAAACTCCAAAACAGCAGCATAAATTCGTTTTCCTCTTTCTGTGCCACAGTCTTTGGGACTTTAGTGGCCGAGGGATATTTTCCCAACTGTGCTGTGAGAAGCCTGGTATATACAACAATTTCTTATCCTCCTTCCCTGCAGGGGAAGTGCTTCCATCAGCTCTGCATGAGACTCTGCTAGGGACTGAAGCTCACATGTAAATCAGTAGACATCAGGCATCTGATTACCTTGGAAAATCTGTGTTCCATCTAACACTTTCATGTGTATCACAGTGTACTATATTTGCACAACAAGGGATTATGAGAATACACGAAATTCATTAAATTCCAAAGCACAAAAGCATTATGGTGATGACATTCATCTAGCAAAGATTGGGATTTAACCCCTCAAAAATCTAATTAGCACATTTACTAATTATTACTAGTTATAACTAATTAAACTACAATAATCAAAATTCATTTGATTGAATTTTCTGATTTTGTGTTTGTAATATGATAGCAGCCCAAACGATGGGATTCCCATTGAGCATTTGACCCCACACACCCTGGTGGGTGCAGGTGCTGCCTCCAGGAGTTCACAGCATGGTTAGAGCTTTGGCAAAGTGCAAGGCAATGGCAGAGGGAAGAAAGAAGGGAGATAAAATATCTTTAGTCCCTGTGACTTTTAGGCTGATGGCTCCAGTTACTGAATATTCAGCCCAGCTGATGTAGCAGGACTGGCTGGCTCTTCTCCCATGGAAAGGCACTGCGAGACTCCTTGAAGGTTTTGGGTTTGGTTTTCTTCTTGTCACTTGACTTAATTCCCAAAAATCAGTAGCTGGAACTGAGCTTTCAGCCTGCAGTGTGGACAGGCAGGACCCTGTGGTGGTTCTGTGCTGTTCTGCCCCTCACCCTGTCCCATCCTGCCTCCTCCCATGGTTCTGCCACCACTAAAACATCCATTTCCTTTGTCCTCCTCGTTCCCATGCACCCAGCACACTCTGTGTACACTTTTTCCTTCCATGTATTCCCCATCACGTATGTTTAAGTTATACAGTGTGCAAGTCTGTCATCTTAGTGAGTCAAATTAATGCCTCTCTTGCACTGGTTTGTTTGGACAAAGGGGTGTTTCTCTTTTAACGCTCCCGTGAATAGCCTTAAGCATTTGCAGATTTTAATTTCAGGAGTGGTTCAGTGAAATGAACTGTCTTTCAGATAGGTATTCAGCATCTGTAAATACACTTTTTTCTTTATTTTTTTTCTTATAATAGCCATTTACTCACTGGTGCTCTGAGAAATGTCTTCTGCTCCTGGTTATCTTCTGAAGTTATGTCTCATCCAGTTTTACTTCACAGTAAAACTGGTCTCAAAGGGCAGCAGGGAATAAAACAACACAGCTCCCTGAGACAAATCAGGTACAAAGCTGATTCCTGGGGTTAAATCAGTAAATTCTACCATCAGAAATGACAATAATAAATAGGAAAAAAAAAAAAAAAAAGCCCAGAAAGGCCAATGCTGACTTTTGCAGCAGAATATCCCATTCAAAAAGCCAAATCTTTTTAACTTGTAGACTCTGCAGTCCTTAATTCAATCAAGAACCCCTTTGTCCATCATCCTGCATCTGAAAATGCGTGTCAGTAGGCATTTCAGGATTAACTTCAACAAGTAGTTTAGGAAATAATTATATGAGAGAGTTATCCTAAATTTCTTCCTAATCTTATCTGTCAGTTTTTCTTAGTCTTGATGCACTGGATATTACTCAGGAGAAGGTTTTCTCTGGTCAATTGTTGCTCTCTCATAAGTGTTTGATATTTTTGGGTTGACTGTATCTCTAAGAAGCATAATAGCAAAGAAAAGTCATAGATGAAGAATACATTCTGTGAATAAAAGCAAGTTTTTCAAATTTCTGACCTTCCATTGAATATATGTCCTCCCATTGTCCCATTGTTAAAATAGGAAAGCAGAAATCTGTGTCTTCCCCCCTTTTTAGGTACAAAGGAGTGTTGTCCCCTTGTCTCAAGCCCCAAACCCTTAGGATGGGGATGGTTTACATTCACAGCAGCCTTCAGCTACTGATGTGGAATTCACAAATGCTGTGTAACCCCTGTTGCTGGTGAAGGCTTTTTAAGTGACCCAGGATAAGCCATGGCTGTTTATACTTTGATTTCTTGAATAAGGGAAGTGCCAGTTCTGCCTTCGTTGCAAAAGCACTGTGGAGATGCATTTAGTGATGTTCAGTCAATGCTGACTGAAATTTATGTAGGGTCTAACAGGAAAGTTGTCAGCTGCCTCAAATTTTATTGATGGATAACACTTCTGAATTTTTTTATATTAATTGTTAGTGGCATGACTATTCTTAACATGTTGTTTGTTAGTGCAATGGAAGAGTCTGCAAAATATTTCCTTCTGCTTTTCCTGTCACTACTGTGAGTTTTCTTTAGTTGCTTACTGGTGAACTTGAGGTATCCTTATTCTTCTCTAGAGGAAGAGATGACTAAAATAAGAAACTGCATTACAAAAGGGAGAACTGCTTCTTCTAATGTTTAAAATTTGTCCAAGGTGTAACTGTGAGCTGAACAATACCACAATTAACCGTAAAATCTGTGGAGCTGGTTCCTGCTAAGTGTGAGCAGTGTTAGCAAACAGAAGTATTAACACAGAAGTAGGTACAAAGAGGCATTTCATGGCATTACATCTGCTGCTTACCCAAAGAACTCTGGATTCCAGGCTTGTTTTTAAGGTCTGTTTCAGTAAGAACAGTATTATTTCAATGAGATGTAGGGCTCAGTGGCATGCTCATTTGCTTTTAGATGTGACTCACATATTTCTATGAGGACCAGGCAGTCATGCATGGTAATTCTTCACATTCCTGACATCTTTTTCGTAATCCACTTCTAGGATGATGATAACTGCAATTAATAGAGAAGAAAGAATTTTAACATTTTTAATGCCTGAATTCATGTTTCCATCCTAGTTGTAGAATCTATACATCAGTAATTTTTAAATTTTTTTATAAACCACAGTAACTCTCTTTTAATTGCCAGCAATCTGATGGAGAAGAGTCTGTAGTTGCAATAGTTGTATCTAATCTTTCAGAGTTCTTTCAGACATTACTGGACTTGTGTGGCCTTTGAAGTTCAGTGTGTGAAGTTAGATGTGATACATGGAGTCAAAAAATAAGACATTTGAATAGGTTCTCTCTGAAATTATCCTAAATATTTTTTAAAGGCTTGTCCTCTAGCAGATAGCCTGAAGTCATCTTCCTTTAGTGAGCTGATTTGGAAAGGTTATTTTGGTTCTCACTATTCTTAGATAAATTTTCAGTATGATTACGAAAAGTCTCAGTATAAATAGCACAAAATTTTTTTCTTTACTATTATGTTCCATCTATAAGAAGAATTTGGAAAATCTTTGTGTATTCAACAAGCTTTCCTCATATGTGGAAAACATAAAAATGGGAGCTGTTTAATTATTTCAACGCCTCCTTGTCTTAAAAATGGAATATTCATGTAGGGTAGTTTTTGCTATCAGGCTCAAGTTCCATGAGTAGAGTACCTAAAACTTACCAATATCCAGAATAGCCAGGAAGGGGAAAGGTTATTTGGTGATTATTGTCCTTTTTTGCATTTTGAAAGAATTCTGCTTGTGTTTTGGCTCTGCTCAATAAAGTGATGATTTCTAAATCTTGGAATGAAATTCGGGACACACTGATTGTAGAATAACTTTGGGTCTTGTTTCTGTAAGGAAGAAGAATTTCCTCTGAAAAGATTTGGCTACTTTCCAAGTGGAAGTTGTATAGTTTTCCCTGCAGTTTGTCCTTTCCTCCTGTGTTTTCATTCTACTTTAGAGATTTAGCCACTGAGATGTTTGGTGTTTTTTTGAGGAACATCTTGGCATGTTTGTATGTTGCGATAATTATGGTTAGCATGAGCTCCTCCCATCCAGAATTGAGTTTTAGCCAAATACTGATGTTTTGAGGAGAAAATTGATCAATTAGAAAAATGATTCTTTTATGTGGAATAAATGTTGCAGCTGAATGGGAAGATTGTGTAATTCTTCAAGAAGCAGTAGGTAGTAGATTAATTTCTGTGAAACAGAAGGGACAGATTGCCCCAGTGCAAGTGCTGTGTTACTGGTAACTGCAGGGGAGACCCTGCTGAGGCCACCAGCAGTCTCACAGCTAAATCCTATTGATTTTTGTAGGGACCAGTGCAGCCTCTGCAGGGCTCTGGGGGGGATTATGAGATGTAAGATGAGTAAGCACAGGGAAGCAGCCACTGTCTCTGCTTCAGAGGCAGAGTATGAAGCTATTGATTGTACACTTTGCTTTATTTGACACCACCCCAGTGCAGTTATTCCAGCTTTTGGGGATATCCACTGTGTGGATGATGCCTCACTTTGTCATTTGCATGTTTTTAGCGAACTTTTATTTTTTTTGTGCTGTAATTGTTGATAAGGTACTTTTTGCTGGCATGGTAACCTTCTATTTCTTGCTTGCCTGCATCTGTTCATTTGAGATACTTCAGAGCAGGACCTGCTACTTTCCCATCTTTGTATAATATTCAGCACTGTGAATTGAGGCTTCTGGATGATGTTTGATAGTCGTGACCCTGGATGGACCCTGCTGAGGGGTTTTTGACCCAGGAAGGACCTGGGATTGGGCTTTCTCTGTCAGGACCAGCCATTACCCACTGTCAGTCTGAGTGGAGAGCCAATGAAAATCCAGCCTCAGCATCTAAACCACACTTCCCTGATACAGAACCATCCAAGTTGTTTGGTGCAGGAGGGAAATCCCCCCCAGCTCCAGCCCATACCCCCCTGCAGTGACCCCTTCCCTGGAGGCTGCTCCTCTCCAGGTCTCTGTGCCTGCCACGGCCCTCAGTGCAGAGCCTGGGTGCCTTGTCCAGCCCTCAGGCCAGGACTTGGACACATCATTCCCTTACTTGTCCCTTTGAGACATCTCTGAAATCTCTAAACTGTTTCTCCTAGCAGTAGTTGGGTGATGCTGAAGTCACTGGGATTAAGGAGTGCTGGTGAGCATGAAGGTATTTATCATACTGGTCCACTGTTTGATTTTCTTTTCTTTTTTTTTTTTTTTTTACCTTTAGGATGAACGTGAAGCCAGAGAAAATGTGAAAAGAGAGCAGGATGAAGCGTACCGCATCTCACTAGAGGCTGACAGAGCCAAGGTGTGTGCAGGGGGAGAGACCCCATGGGATGGGAACCCTTTGGAGTTTGGGACTGCTCTGTGGTGCACAGGACTACCTGAACATGAGACCCTAAATTCCTCAGTGTTGTAAAGTGGCACGAGATAAGGTCACTGGGACTGGACTTGGCTACATCTTTTAGCTAAACCCATCCTGGCTTCATTTAATAATAGAACTTGGGAAAGGAATGGCAGGAAAAGATTGCTTAATAAATACCCTATCTCTTTTATTAATTTCTATGGAAACGTTGAGAGATATCTTTGCATTTGTATTTATCACATATTTATGTGGGATTGCCCTTTGTGTTTGTTAGAGGGAAGCACAAGAGAGAGAAATGGCAGAGCAGTTTCGCTTGGAACAGATCCGGAAAGAGCAGGAGGAAGAACGTGAGGTGAGTGTTTTACCTTTTCTGATAACTTTTTGAATTCCTGAAGCTTATGAGCACTGAAACTGTCATTCAACACACACTGCAAGTTCAATTCAAAGCATACTTCTTATGTGACGAATTTTCTTTACTATTATTGATTTCTTACAATATATCTGTGAAACAAAGTGCAGCTAAATAATTTTCATCCACTGTTTAATAGTTTTTCTGTTTTATCATCTGGGTCTCAAATACAGCCAGATATTAGATGGACCTGCTCACAAGAGATCTGTGAGATGAGCTCCATAAATGCTGGAATCTTTGGGAGGCTCTAACCTGTTTTCTGCAGCCACTCCTTTTCAAAACATGGAGCCCTTTCATTTTTTCCAGGAAGTAGCACAAAGTCTACCTGCAATTCTGATCGAACAAGTTACCAAATTTAATTTGGGAGACAATCCACTTATTTTAAAAAATTAAGAAAACAAAATACATTCTCTTGAAATTTGGATTTGTGGTACTTTAAAAAATTTCTGAACAGTCTTCTACAGAATCTTCCTTAGAATGAAAATTGTGTTTAAACAAATACTTTATGTCTCTAGGCCTCTGTAAGAAAACAGAAACCCTGTGCTGTGAAGAGTACTGTTCCTCTTATTTTGCAAATTTTGTAAATGCTAAAGGTTCCAGTGCCTCTCAGAGATGGCTCCTGCAGCCTCTTTCAGGGTCTAGACTAGTTGTGAGATGGAAATTCTGTGAGGTTAACAGCAGCTGAACATGAATCCACTGCAGCAGGAACAGGCTCACACTCAGGCTCAGGCAAGAATTATGTTTTTCTTTTCTCAGTTATTTTGCATGCATAGAAACAGTAATTGTTTCTGCTTCATTATATCTACTCCTGAACCTTTTCAGATACCTTGGCCTTTTGGAAATGGTTTTCTTATGCAAAGGCTGCAAGACTGGCCCATGTTATCAAAATATAGCTGGGCTTCCCTGTTTTAATGCAGAGTGCAGTAATGAAAATAATAGGATCTGTTTGCTTAGTAGAACAAAAGGGATTTTAACAATAATGTTTACTAACACTCCCCATTTTCAAGTATACAGATTACTTGGACTGAATTGTTTTGCAACAGTGTTTACTTACAGAAGTGGCTTTATGTTCAGTTTGTATTTTAAAATCTGACTGTTGAGCTCTTCACATACTGAATATCTTTTTATCAACAAACTGAAATTGCTTGTTCAGGTCCAAGAGTTTTTAATGTGATCCATCATGTCATTGTTTTCTGGCTTGGTTTGCTGGTACAGAATATCCATTGTAAATTGCCATTTTATGTTGAAGCATTGCAGAGTGGTTACTTCGGGGAGCGACGCACTCTTTGCACAAAGGAAGGAGCTCTAATGAGCTACTGTTGTTTATTTTTCTATAATATAATTGATTGGGTTCAGTAAATAATGTAGCATCTGTTGTTATACTGTGTGGGGAAATGTCAAAACAGCAAGATAGTAAGCAGGTGGTTGAGAATGGAGAGGGAGAAAATTAAAATAGAATCTATTTAAAATATAATCTCATAGTAGATGAGCAAAAATGAACTCAAGTTCTATGTATAAATATTTATACTGAAATACAATTTGCTCTCAGGTGTGTGTGTAAGAAGTAGACTATTTAAAAGCCTTCGTAATCTTGTTTCTGCCCAGTCCTTTCCCTGCAATGTAATCACCCTCCATCAGTTTCTGTTACTAAATGACCTTGGGGAGGTTTTCAAAGGCACAAATAGCAACTGTGTATACTGAAAGCTCCTTGAAAATGGGTAAATCCCTGCCTGACTGCCTCTTCAGTCTGAAAAATTGTCTTGCAGGCAGTGTGTTTGTGCTGTTTCTTCCATTCCTAGCACTTCTCTGTAAGTGCTACCTTAAGTGAGGTGATATTGTAACAGAGCTGCTTCTGAGTATGATCAAATTTTTGACAGATGCTGAAGCTGCCCATGAGTACCAAGAACGCCCTTGAAAATCAAGCCCACTTCATTCAGCAGTCTAATGTTAGCCATTTAAATTTTATTAAAAAAAAAAATCTAATCAAAGGATTGGTGCTGTAACAGCTCCCAGAGACAGAGGACAGAGAACACAGACCTGGGTCCAGCCCTTAAAATCTTGACATCAGCAATATCAGCAGGAAGTCTAATATATCATATTGTATGACTGTCATGTAGTATTGCAATTTGAGGGCTGATTTCATGCAAGTTGTTGTAGAAAATGTGTTCACCTGTACTTGGAACCGTCTTCTTGCAAGTACTGTTACTACTACTACTACTACTACTACTACTGCTACCACCAACTTTAAATCTTCAAGCTCCTATTTCTGTTCTCACAGTTTTCTTCTTTAATCATTCCTACTTTTATATGTATTCTGTGTATCTAATGTACATTCGTGGCATTTTTAATTGCAGCTTTTACAAGTGTGTCAGTTTATTTTTAATAAATTTCTTGCATGTATTTCTTTTCACTCTGAACTGCCATTAAGGGTCCAGTCTACTGCAAATGGTCAATTACCATTGCAAGAGGATGGCAATTTGACAAGTGCTTTTTAAAGAAATACTTTTACTGCCTTTTAATTTATACCCTTTAAGGAAGCAATTGGCCACTTGACAATTATTCTCTCATTCAATTTTTTTCCAAGGCTTTCTGCCAAATGATTAAATTACGTATCCCATCGTGCATTAACTGTAGACCTAATAATATGTGTTATAAAGAAGGATTTATTTTAATTAGTTGTCTGGTGGGCTGTTATTAAGGAATGAATAAAAATAATTTTGTCATTGAGATATAAAGGCTCTGGAGCACTGCGACACATCTTGAAGTTCTAGAAGACATAAAAAGAAAAGCTTTCTGCCCTTTTCCTCTGTTGCTGGCATTGGCACCTGAAATGGTTGTTTTTCCTTCCCCAGGCTATCAGGCTGTCCCTGGAGCAGTCTTTGCCCCCCGAGCCCAAGGAGGAGAGCACTGAGTCTGTCAGCAAACTCCGCATCCGGACGCCCAGCGGAGAATTCTTTGAGCGGCGTTTCCTGGCCAGCAGCAAGCTGCAGGTTGTCTTTGATTTTGTAGCTTCCAAGGGATATCCTTGGGAGGAGTACAAGCTGCTGGGCACCTTTCCGAGGAGAGATGTGAGTAAATGTACCTTTCAGAAATAAATACCTCTGCTTCTTGCTCCTGTGGGTTAGATGGGCTGGGGTGTTCTAGCATAGGAGGTAAAAGGAGTGCCTGGAATGTTCGAGTGCTCTAAGCCAGGTGCTGGCTGACCAGTGCTTTCAGATGTTACTACAGAGCTATGAAACCTGTCTCCAGAGATATTGTAAAAAATCTTACATTTCAGAAAAAGTTGTGGACCATATTCAATGAAAACTCGAATATGCTGAGCCAGCTTTGCTCACATCCCGTTTTGAAGGAGACTCCATCAACTCATGGTTTAGGTCTGTTATGGGCAGATACTTCTGATACTTTATGCTATGAACAAGGCTGAGCATGAGATAGTACCCAGTTATGAACTATTAAGTACATCCTAATAAATATTTGATCCACCTGTTACATAGTACCAGTAGATAATTACATCTCCTACCTGGAAATTGTATGATGAACCTGCTGTGACTGATTTTCAGAATCAATACTGCTCACTGCTTACAATAGCCAATTAAAATCAACAGATAATTTTTGTACTGGCACCTATATTTCTTTGAAATCTGCCTCTGTGTTTTCTGCACTAATTAGCTTTCGTTTCTTATTTAGTCATTGCTACAGCAAAAGTGAAAGTCAGTGGGTCCAGGCTCAGTAACTGTGCAGAGACCCTGGATAAAAAATAAAGGGAATGGACACTGCAGAGACATCAGGACAGAGCCAAGCAGTGGTAGGTGAAGTTCAGCAGCTCTTTGGCCATACTGCCTGAGCACTGCAGAGGAGTGGGGCAGCTCTGGACTAGCTGGGGTCTTGTTTGCTGGAGGCATCTCCAGGCAACTGGTTAGACCATTTTCCATCAAAGGAGTTCAGTAATTTGAATTGCTTTTCCATTTTGTTTCCCATCACTGCCCCTGGGGGAAGTTCATTAGGAATGAGGCTCTGATTGACATGTTTGCAGTAGTTTGTAACAGATACCTCTTGCTGTATCATCTTATTTGTAAGTACTCCAAAGGAGAAGCAGCTCATCCTTAGCAAGCATACAACCTTGTGAATGGGAACTGAGGATGAGTGAGTGGAGTGGATGTGGTTTGTGACCTGATTTTGGCATAACTGTGAGCAGGATTGCAGTGCTTGTAGCTCTTCTTCCACTTTTTCCTGTATTGGGAAGCCTAATCAGTCAGACCGAAAAGCAATGTTTAAAGGAATCTCATTAATCACTAATTAACTTTACTCCTTAAGCATGCACTTTCATTTCCAGTGGAACCAAAGACTAGAAGTCACCCGTGTTTCTAGGATTACTGGTGGTTCAGTGTACTTGACAGAAGAAAAACAGTGTTTGCAATCTAAACAATGGATTTGTGTGTTTTAAGTATTTTGCAAGTCATACTGCCCCACCTGTAACTTATTTCTGATGTAAAACATATTTAATACAAAAACCCTACAGGTATACCCTCTTAAGTTTTTGCTTTTGTTTTTCACTTTACACTGTCTGTTTCTGTACTTAATCACAGCATCATCATTATGAGTGTTAGTCATCTGTAAAAATCCTCCAAAATTTATCAGGTAAATCACATAAGAACAAGTTTTTAAAAGAGTAGAAAAGAAAAAAATATCACTAAATTAGAACAGGCTGGTATTGTGAATACATCTGTGAAACTGGCAGGGAGAAAAGGCTCAGGCAAAGAAAGGAGAATTTAATGGCAGGGTCTGGAGCTGTTGGTCTGTTGTGTGGGAAGCAAAGACCCTGTCATCTTTTTTCTGTGATTCCAACCTAATAATGCCATGTATGAGGAGTCACATAAATGATTCATGCTGATTGACTCAGCCATGTATGAATCCCGTTGCCATTGTGACCACCAGAGCCACGACAGACAAAAAATATTCCCCAGGGGTTTGCTAACCACTGAGAACTGTAAATGGCATCTGTCACGTTCCCCAGGTTTGGAAAGTTGGAATCATGCAACTCCATAGACAGATTAAAAAACAATAAAAATAACAAAAATAATAAAAATAAGGCATTGTTGAATGGCTTGGAAGAAGTACAGTCAAAGTTGGCTGTATAACAAAGCCAATACCTTGGGCTTTGTGGTCTGTAAAAATACACTGTAAGTTATCAAGACCCCTCTGCTGTGTGGTGTGTTACAAACATGAACAGGAACCTGTGCTACAAGGACAGAGCACTTGGGATGGTTGTGCTCCAGAAAACAAGAGCATTTAAAATGTCTGTATTTAAACTATACATAATATTTTTGGGAAAAAAGAAGTTTGGAAGTATCAGTATTACTTTGCTGGACTTTTGCTGCAGTAAGATGAAAACATGTCTTCTAAAGTCAGTTTGTGGTTTTTTTTCTGTCCTAATCTGCTTCACAATATTATACACACCCCAAAAGTGTTTCTGTCTTATCAAAACAAGTGGATTATCTTCAAGCAGATCAACATTTTCTTGTGATAAAATTGTTACAGCATTTTTACCTGCTGTTCAAAGCCATCAGTCCTGATACAGTGTTGTTGAAGTATTTTTACATCTTTCATAAATAAAAATTCATTAGTTCTAAGTCCTATGTTCCAGTTGCTTACACAGATATCCTTAGCTAACTTAAAGTTGGTATCATAACCCTACTGTAAATACAAACTTCTACACATGAGTAAATACACAGATTAACCTTTTCCAGACACTTCTTGTAGATTTTAAAGCAGCAGTGACATTCCAAAGCAGTTAAGCACATTCAGTGACTTGTTATTGGGTGTTTGTCACTGGCTCTGTTGTTCTTTCTACCCGTGCTGAAATTAGATATTAACCAGCTCCTCTCTCAGTACCTCAGCACCACATCTTGTACCACAGTGTGTGAGCTTGGGGCAGCAGGGAGCTCGTGCCTCAGCCTCTGGAAGTGTTGGCAAACACATCTTTGGGAGTGAAAAGCTGTATTGTATTTCTTGGCATTATTCTGAAATACACCTGCAAAGACTTCTTAGAGCAAATGTGTGTGCTGTTAAACATGTGTGCTGATTTCAGAGTTACAGTTCCCTTTCTTCCAGAAATCATATTTAACTATAACAGAAAGAACTTACTCTGTGTATATTAGTGAACCTACTAGTTCAGTATTTAAGTCCCTTTCTCTTTAAAGCCTTCCCAAACTCAACTTTTTTAGTCCTCTTGACCTCCCAGCTGCAAGATTCTCCTTCTCCCAGTGCCTTGGAGACCTCCAGATAATCAGTTCCTCACTTACTTCAGTGCTGGTGATGTGCCCAAATCTTCCTAAAACCATTAACATCTTACAGGGTGGGCATTTTACCCCACTTAGGCAAGAAGCTGAAGTGGACCAGGTCTAGCTGAAACTCTAAGAGGAATGTGCAGAAATTTACCCAAACAGTGCTTCAGCTGCCCTGCTAGGGTTAATATGTTTGTGAATGTTTTGTGGTGTCTCTCAGAAAGGGAGGGCCAGGCATGATTTCTCTTTCTAAAAGCTATGTTTGAAAGACTGAATTTATTAATTTCTCATGAAAAATCAAATTTGCAAGCTATAATTTCTGCTGCTGATTTCTCCTTGAGGTGGAGCATTAGTTCTGTGTTTGAGAGTATGCCTTCTGCAGACATGGTATTAGAGACTTAAGCTCTTTATTTACTGTATCTGGAAGCCTTGGTAAGCCAAGACTTCTACAGTATTTCACATTTTATTTTTCTGAGCCACAGCTTAGGATCAGGTGGCAGTTAAGTCACTTAAGGTTATTTAAATGCATCTAAAATGTTGCTTAATAATTCAGAACCAGTTTGCTCTGTTTAGAGTATTAAGATTTTTTAAATCCTTTTAATTAACCAATTTCAACAGCAGTTTAAATAAACAGAAACCAAAAAATCTCCCTTGAAAGGGTAGAAAAGAAATTTAACTCAAATTGCATGTCAATTTAGATCAGATATGATCAGGATTTCAGTAAATTTAGGGCCAGAGAATTCACAATTTTGGAAGTATATGGGAATATAGAGTAAGCTATTCCTCCAAACCCAAATGTGATTGTTCATTCCTGGGCTTTGGCAGGATTAATCCTCTTTGATGCTCACAGTAGTGAAAATAATGCCACAGGATAGTAAGTTTAGCTGCAGCACTTGGTATGGAGTCCTCTGAGCAGGTACCCTCTAATATTCTCAGAAAGGTGATGCTGGAGCACAGTCCTTATATTGTTATGCCAGGTAGTTTGACAATTTTGTATATGAGTTCTGGCAGCTGTTCTTTGGAAGGATTATTCTGAATTTCACTCCATGCAAGCTACTGCTTTCAGATAACTTACTTTTAAACTCATTAGGTCATGTTTAAACTCTCTAAATAGTTCATGAAGGAGTTAAATGTCCAGGACCATCTTTGACTTTTAACATTCTTCCCCCTAATCATGATCTTGATAGAAAAATGGAAGAAAGATGTTATTGTGATAAAGGATTTGTGCAGTGTCACAGCTACACCTTAATATTTGTAATAATTTCAATTAAATGAGAAAAGTAGCTTGAATATCTGTTTTATAGCAGAGGAGGATTTCAGATGAATTAAATATTTTTTCTGATAGGTTCAGAAAATTTTGAGAATTGCATGTGATACCTGTAATTTTCCCAGTCATTTCAGTTACTGATACTTATCTTTCCTACTACACAAAGTAGTAGTCATCTCTTTTAATTCACATAATTGAAATTTTTCTGCTCACTGGTGTCATGTGCTTACTCTGATCTAGTTTACACAAGGCCACAGCCACCTACAAAGGTAGATGTCCCTCCTCCTATCATTTCCAGCTTTCCTTAAGTCAATACTACCTGCCCTTGTCTTTCCTCTCCTTTCAAGATCTGTTGTTATTTTATTTATTCAAGCAGTTAGGTTTGGTTTAGTTAAGACACTGAGAAGTTGCCTAAGCAAATTGGCCATTCCAGACTGGCATATTCCCATGCCCCTTTTGAAGCCTGGTTTCTGACCATTCTTCCTGATGACTTGTAACAGTGGAGGGATTGGAAAGA